ATGTATACAAACTCTAAACAACTCTCAAAGTATATGTGTGTATGTATGTGTGTATATTTGCTTTTTAAATAAAAATGGACCATGAAGTGTGTGTCCTTCATGAAGAGCAGCTTTCGTGGACGTGGCCAGCAGCAGGCGCTCTCCACCTTCGGAAGGTCTTACCCACCGTCACTATGGAACTGGGTAGGCTGTGCACACTGGGGCCCCAGCCATGCCACAGAGCTTTGGGAACCAGAGTCCCTCCAGGTGGGGAGAGCCTGCTTGCTGAGAGCAGCATGCCCTGGGCTCAGCCAGACCTCTCTCATCAATGTCTCTGGAAGGGGCTCTCAGGCCCTGTGAGCCCCCACAGAGGAGGCACTAGGCCTGTGGACCAGCCTAGGGAAGGAGGGACTTTGAGGTGAGAATGTCCAGGAACGTGAGGAGGGCATGGGCAGGGAGGGAGGCCCACTTGAGGGAGGAGGGGTAGTGATGGCGTGAGCTAGGTCACAAGAGGTGTGAGAAGGAACACAGAGCCCTATCTGGCTGACAGAAGGGGGCTTGGCAGAGCTTGGAGGAGGTATGAGGGTTGATGGACGGGAGGGGAAATGCCTGGATCGATGTGGGGTTTATGAGAGAGGCAGGGCCCCAAGAACTGCAGTCCAGATTTCTATATGGCTGGGGCCCACACTGGGAAGGTCTGATAGGTGTGCAGGGTCGCCAGGCCTGGCTGTATAGGACGTACCATCCAGCCCAAGGGGCAGAAAGAGTGGGCAGACTGAACAACAGGGCAGTGCCACAGGGGCTGTCTTGATTCCAACAAGGAGATGCGGCCAGCTGTCACCCCGAGAGAAGACTTTCTAATCAGCTCATCCTCCACCCCCTTGAACCCCATGTGGTAAATCTTACTGTCTCTGTCAGGGTGACATATTACAGAATCACATGCTTAACAAAAAGGAAACAGGCCCTCTCAGAGTGAGGAGGGATGCGGGGTTGATTATTCACAGAACTGAGCAGACCTCAGGACCCGGCCCCAGGCCTTGGTGACTCGGCTCTCTCCCCCTCTTCTGGTCTCTCTCTTTTGCTTTCTCTCTCCTTGTCACTCTGGCTCTCTCGAGCTCTCTCCACTTCTATCTTTTCTTTTCGTCTGGCTCTGTCTGGCTTCCTTCTGTAAACAGACTGATTTCAACGAGGGGAAAGATGGCCACTGACAGCCCTGAATTTACATGCTTTTGGCTGACAGTCCCAGTGGAATTCTCCCAAAAGCCTTATATCTAGCTCAGGGAAGAATTCTGATTGGTCCTGCTTACTCTGGTACCATCTCATTACCGGGTACAGTCGCTGTCTCCAAAGAAACTGGGTACCCTGATTGGTCAGGCCAGAGTGATAATAGCTAAAGGGTGGTGATGGAGTGGGGGCAGCCCCTGCTTCCAGAATGAAATGCAGTTGAAAGGGGCTGGTCAACCCAAAACAATAGCAACCAGATGCCATCACACTTGGTTTCCAGGATGAAGACAGCAGAGGGCCTGCATCACAGAGCACACAGTCTATTCAGGGAGACTGGAACACAGCAGAAGTCAATAAAAAATACTCGTGGCTGGCGATCCTCAGACCCTGGGAGGCTGCTCAGCTTTTGGAAAAATTAGAATAGAAATGCTGACACCTCTGTCCTGCAACTAACTGACTGACTCACATTTCCAGGGCCACAGCAGCTTGAGGAATCAACTCTAGAAATATGGATCTAATATGGTAAGCATGCAGTGTGGCAAAGCAGAAGCAGCAGGCAGACCAGAGTTTGAATCCGGCTCTCTACTAGCTGCGTGATCATCAACTTAACTTCAAAGGCTCCATTTTCACACCTGTAAAAGGGGAACAACCAATAGCCAACTTCCTAGGGTTGTTGTGAGGATTAAGACATGTAGGTCAGGTGTGCAACAGAGCACGCACATGCGTACTCAGTCAACAAGCACTCACATTATGGTACTAGTCTTTGGCCCATGCTGCCAACAGTGAAATTGCTGGAATCCCAGCTCCCTCCTTCTCATCTGGGGGATCCTTCCTTCCCAGAAGTCACCCCAGGTGCCTTCCTTGGGCAGAAGTAAGGCCTCTGAGCCCTAGATGGCAGGTGGGACCTCCTTGGATGGGAGAAGGTACTTTGAAGACCTACTTTGGGTTGGTCCGTCCTGCCTTCCTGGTGAGTCTGCCCCTGGGCAGCTGCTCTGGCTGCAAGGCCCAGAAACCCTAAGCTACTTATACCAAGGAGGGCTTGGCATCAGCAGTCACGCACTTCAGGACACTCAGCTGGAGGAGGCAGAGCAGGGGTCACAGTAAGGAGGGACACCCAGACAGCTGCTCGCTCCAGCATGCCATCTCTGGGGCCATGTGCATGCTGCCTGTGGCCCTTCTTGATCATCTGTCCCTTTCCCTTGCCTCTGCCATGGCCCCTCTAAAGGGCTTGTGTCCCAGCCTTCCTAACCTCCTGTCCAGGGACCTGCCCCGGCTGACCCAGCCTCTCACGCCACACCAGGTTTCTGAGACAGAATCTGGCCAGTGTGGATGGGGTCACCAATGAGCTGGGATGGAGAATGGCTCTTGCGATGCTGAAGCCTTTCTTTCTCTCTTTCTCTCTTTCTTCCTTTCTTCTTTTCTTTCCTTTCTTTCCTTTCTTTCTGGTGTGGCCAGCTCTCAGAGGCACTGGCAGCAGGGAGGTCTGGTCCCTGGGGGAAAAGTCCAGACGGCCCTTGCCCCGACTCAGTCACCTACTCATGCCTGTGCTAAACCCCAAGCCTGCCTTGTGTTCTAGCTTCACTAATGACACGTGAAGAAGTATTTGGTGACACATGAACACCATATGAAATTCAAATGTCAGCACAATATTAGCTTCCTAGGGCTGCCATAAGAAAGTGCCACAAACTGGGTGGCTTACAACCACCCAAACTTATTGTCTCATGTCCCGGAGACTTAGGTGCTGGCAGCACCACATTCCCTCTGAAGCCTTTAGGGGGGATCCTTGTGTCTTCCAGCTTCTGGTAGCCCTAGGAGTTCCTTGACTTGTGACAGCATCACTCCATCTCTGCCTCCCTATTCACATGGTCATCTTCTCTCTGTCTTCAAATGGCACTCTCTGTGTATGTGTCCGTATCCAATATTCCTCTTCTTATAAGGACACTAGTCATTGGATTAGGGCCCACCTTAACGACCTCAACTTAACCTGATGGTATCTGCAAAGACGCTATTTCTAAATAAGGTCATATTCACAGGTACTGGGGCAGTGGGGGTGGGTGGTTAGGACTTCAACCTACCTTGTGAGGGATACAGTTCAACCCGTAACAATCATCTGTAAATAAAAATGTAATGGGCTCACCACCGCATGCATTCTGTGGCTAGCTGTGACAGAGACCATATGTGAAGGGTAAAATACTTACTATCTGGCCCTTTACAGAAAATATTTTCTGTCCCGTGACTTAAAGGATAGGATAAGAATTCAAAGGAGGAGAAGGCTGGGGGTGGGGGTGAGGGGTGCATCCTGGGTTGAGGGGACAGCAAGGCTAACCACAGTGACGGTCGGGATGTATCTGAGGAACTATGACCCTGGGGTTCTCTCAAACAAGGCATTTCATGAGCTAGATTTAAAACACAGAGCATCTCGTGTTGAAACACCTTCAGAAGCACACCTTGGGGTTTTCTTCCAGGTGGAGAGTCCTATTCTAGAGACAAGGCCTCTTCAGCTGGAAACATCTGGAAAGCCCTTCGTCATGTCTCTTGCCTGGTGGAGAGAGGGAGGGTGGCGAGTTCTCCCCTTTTGGTAGCAGCAGGGCTCCCCACCGCAGGGCTCATCTTCCCACCAGGCTGGGGAACTGACTGTGCTATGGGCCTGGATGACACTGCCCAAGTTCAGCAAAAGCGACCTTGAAGCAGCCCCGTTAGAGAGAGAGGGCCGGCGATGAGCCCTACCTGACCGTTGAAAACTGCACCTCAAGGGATTGTCCTTGATTTGCTAAGATCACTCAGCTAGGCCGGGCCCGGCTGGGCGGGCCCCTCGGCCTTCTGTGGCCCTGGTCTGGGCCCCTCTCCTCTCTTGACCTGCCTCTGTTGCCCATGCCTTCCTCCTCTTCTAATTGATAACACAGCAATATTAAAGAGAAACATTTAAAAGAAAATCTCTCAAATCCTACCACCTCAACACATTTCTACACACACACATGAGTTCTTTAAAAAACCATTCCAATGAGATAAAATTGTACAGAACTAAACACACACAGAGAGGAGTGTAATAAAACTGGGAGAAATCTGAATGAGGTCAGTGGATTTTATCACTGTCAATATCCTTGTTTTGCAAGATGTTAACCATCAGGGATACAGTAAAAGTGGGAGCTCTCTGTATTATTTCTTACAACTGCATGTGAAGCCACAATTAGCTAAATAAAACAGCAATTAAAAAAAAGCAATCTAAGGAGCTGTGAGCCATGAGTATGTACCATTTCATTTTAAACCATTTTACACTAAGATGATATTGTAAACATTCCCTGTGTTTCTGCAGCTCTGGCAATAGTCACTTACCTGCTACACAGCGCTCCATCTTGGGGGTGTGAACTCGTTTACGTAACCATTCTCCTTACTAGATCTTTTGAGCCATTGTCAATAATGCCATAAATGAACATTATTATGCATATAGCACTTTTTTCTTTTGAACTATTTTATTAGAATAAATTCCCAGCGAGTGGGAGTACTGGGCGTAAGGTTGGAGCACTGCAGCTATATTGTGTGTTATTAATTTAATGTTATGATACCTTTATTACGGCCTTTTCCAGCGTAGACTGGCTTTTCCCGAACCTAGCGAAAATTGTCTGCTGTGCCTTTCAGCATTCAGATCTGTAGGAAAAACCAAGGACACCCCCACCTGTTTCTACCTACACAATGTCACCTGGGATTTGAGTGGCAGAACGCAAGGGCAGCAGAGTTCAGCGAGAGGCGCTGTCAACCGCGTCACCCTCCCCCGAGCCTTGGCGGGCGTCCCGGGACCTCGCCGCCCCGGGGGGCGCCCACGACCTTCTCCCCAGCGACACAAGGCGGCAGAGGCGAGGAGGGGCTTGCGACTTTCCGGGAAACAGAGCGGCACTTGCTCACTCTTCGGCGCTCCTTTCGGAGCGGCACAAAGCCGTTTCTAGAACACACTGGATTCGGCTTAAAAAGCGGCTGACAAAGTGCGGCGTCCTTCGGGCGCCGGGTGGGGAGGGCCCTGGGTGATAGGCCCCCACTTCTCCGGGGAGATCGCCGCCCGGGAGGCGCGGCAGGGTGGGCCCGGGGCAGCGGCTCTTCCAGAGCTTTCTGCAGGCCCCCGGCCACTGTCCCGGAGTGAGCGGCCGCCGCGCGGAGCCGCAGGTGAGCGCTTCCAGGGCCGGAGACGCCACCGCCGTCCGGCTGGACGGCCTGCGGGCGCTAGGGGCCGCTTTCGTTTTGTATTTTATTTTATTCTATTTGTATCTTATTTTATTAATTTATTTTATTATTAAAAAAACAACGTTTATTTTTATATTTTGTTTTATATTTTTATCAATTTTTATTTTGCATTTTATTTTTTATTCCAAATTCTATCATTTTTTAAAGTGGGTTTTTTTTCAGTTTTTACGCTTATCTTTTTTTTCTAACTCTTTTTTGGAGGGGAGGTAATTAGGTTTATTTATTTATTTTTATTATTATTATTTTTTAATGGAGGTGCAGGAGCTTGAACCCAGGACCTCATTCGTTCATGCTAAGCATGCACTCTACCACTGAGCTATACCCTCCCCCTGTATTTTAAATTTTAACATCTTACTTTATATTATTTAAAAAATAATTTTATTTTACTTTGATATTTTAATTTTTGTTTAATTTTATTCTTAATTTAACTAAAATTTTTATTTAATTTCATTAAGACTTTTTTTTTTTTTTTTGCAGTTAAGATGTCCAGATAATGTACAGGATGCCCAGTTAAATTTGAGGTTCAGATAAGCAACAGGTAATTTTTCAGCATAAGTATATACCCTGTTTGGTATGTCCTGTTTAGTATATGTATGTCCCAAATATTGTCTTGCATTTTAATTTAAATCTGGCAGCTCTATTTGTGGTTGAATGCCTTTCTTTGGAGGAAATCTGACTGAGAACCCCAGTATCTAGCAGACAAAGCAATGTGGTTCGTGTCAACTGGGAGTAGGCAGGAGTGTGTGTCACCCAGTCTCCCAGGTACTGAGCAGGCTCCTACTAGATGTTGCAGCTTGTACCTGTGAAGGTGTCTTGTACCTGGACAACCAAATGTCTCTCCACAAGCCACTGACAGCCCCTATGGTCAGTTTACTCCACTGCAGCCCGAGTGATCTTAAAACAAGAACAACAGCAAGGACACAATTTGGCACTATTGCAAAAGTTAATACACGCTTATTATAAAACCTCAAATCGTGAAGGCGGACATAAGGTGAAAAGTCCAAGACAGAACCCTCTCTCCCTCATTGGCAACCACCAGGCCTACTTCCCAGAGGTAACCAATTTCTTCTGCCTACTTCCATTTTTTTTCAAAGCATATCAGTACTTTTACGTATGTATGTGTGTATATAGTTGCATATACATATACGTGTGTATGTGTGCAACCTCAAGAAACAACGCAGACTTCAGCACATGCACTTTTCACTTGCAAGTGTGCACTGGAGCTCTTTCCCTACTGCCAGAGCCAGCGACCAGTGCCCTGGTGTTCCCGGTGATTTGCTCTTGTAGATAATGCTGCAGTGTAATCAATTCCTAGACGTGGAATTGCTGGCTTAATGGGGACAGGCGATTAATATGTTGATAACTGCCGGCAGTGCCTCTCAGAAAGGCCTTCCAATTTCCATTTCCACAGTCTGCTTGTTCTCCTTGCCCTCACCAACACGTCCTGTCTCTTTGTCACTCTGATAGGTAAAAACTGGCAACTTATTTTGATTTGTATCTTTTAAATTACGCGTTAGGCTGAGTTTTGAATATAGCTGTTATCCACACACATCTCTTTTTCTTCTGAGTTGCTCTGCCTTCTCTTTCTGCGGGATTCTTTATTTTTGGCTTTTGAATTCTGAGCATTCTTTGTGTTTAAGGAAATTGGAACATTGTCTCTCATATTGTTGCAAATACTTCTCCCAATTTTCCAGTTGTCCTTAGACTTTCTATATTTTTGCCATGAGATAGTTTTATGCTTTTTAGAATCAAATTAATTAATCTTATCCTTCTTGGCTTATGGAATTATTATCATACTTTTCTACTCTACAGTTACAAAAGAAATATGTTCATGCTTTCTTCTCATGCTTTCATGGTTCGATTTTTGCCTTTAGAGCTTTGAATCACCTGCAGTTTATTTTGATGTGAAGGAGAAAAGTATGGATCCGCATTTGTTTTCCAAGTGGCTAGCCACTTTCCTAGTACCGTTTACCAAGTAATCCGTTTCCCCGACTCGTGGAATGCCACCTTCATCACAGTCTACATTTCCACATATGGTTGGGTGTATTTCTGGATTCTCTATTGTGTTCTATTGATCTTTCTGCCTATTCTTCTACGTGTGCCAAGTCACTTTATTTACTCCAGCTTTATAATATATATATTGTTACCTTTTAAGATTATTTTCAGAAACTTACTATTTTCACTTATATATTTTACCAGATGAATTTTGGTGTCATCAGCGTAATAGGTAGGCAGCCTGAAATATGTAATCACAAAAATAATTTAATCAGTTTTTTTTTTAACTTGTTTTGTTCACAGCCATTGCCTGGAACAGTGCCTGGGACAAGGTGGGCACTCTGATAAAACTTGATTGAATGAAAGAACTAGGCATAAAACTGGCATAAGAGTGGAAGTTCCAGTAGCATCAAGTGTATTACTTTTTATTCCCTTATTTTCTGTCTTCCCTGTTGTCTCTTGTGGAGTCAGGCAACTTGTAGAATGAAAAAAAAATGTTTTCCTTAAGTTTTTGGTCAGTTTTTCCATGATGGCACTGCACTAAGTGGCCACCAGAGGGCAGGGCTGCCCTACTGTAGGGGATTGCAACCACCAAGCCAGTTTTCTTCTGAAGACTTTGTCATGTGGAGGTTTAGTTACATGCTTGGGGACATTCCTGGTGACAGGAATCAATCCCATTTCTCCCTCACCCAGATCTCAGCTCCCCAGACTGAAGGCAGCAGCTTTTGTGTGTAGAACACAACCCGTCCCATTGGGCTCTGCACCTTCTCTGAACCAACTTTTTATTTATTGAGTACTGAGTCCCTTCTCAGTGAATGGGACTCGGTCCCCATCCTCACAGAGTTTGTGCCAGACCTGCTAACCTTCAGAGTCACACAGGCAAACTCAGGCCTAGAAAGATGCCTAGCTTGGCAGCAACAACAACAACAAAATTTAAATTTAGCTTGATTTCAGAACCTGTCTTATTTATTTGTATGTCCATTCAGAAAGCAAGTGGTCCTGGTCTGTGTTGCTGGGGCTTATGGGAGGACCCATCCATTCTCCCCAGATATGCACCAAGGGCCTCTTCTGCACAGGCATTGCTCCAGGCACTGGGGAAGCAGCAGACCCTACCCTCATTAAGTTCACAGTTTGGTAGTGGTGATGACTGGGTAGGGTAGAGGAGACAAATAAGTACAGCATGAAGGTGTTGATGAGCTCTGTGAAGAAAAACAAACAGGATAAGGGGATTAGGAGTGATGGACCGTGGTGCTATGTTGTATAAAGAGGTCAGGGAAATCTCCAATGAGGTTAATTTTGAGCAGAGATCTTAGTAAAGTGAAGGAGCAGAACTAGTGGTCATCTGGGAGAAAGCGGAGGGGACAGGATGTGCAAAGGACCTGAGGCAGGAGTGTGCTCAGTTGGGAATGTATGTGTGTAGTTGGGGGTGAGGGTCCCTTAGGGATGCAAGATCCCACAGACCCTATGGGAAGTTGTAGGCTTTGCCTTTTGCTCTGAATTGCTGCATTGAGACTAGTCTGTAGAGGCGCAAGGTGGCTGCAGGGAGACAGGTCATCCAGGTAAATTGATGGTGGTCTCACACCTGGGACTCTCAGTTAATGCTTGCTGAATTGATCTAAGCTATTCTGGTCAGAACCTGCTTGAAATCATGACCACCTGACCCATGACAGAGATTGGCAAAAGCACCACAGGAACAAAACTTCCAAAGGAAAAACTGCCCTCATTTTGGTGGTTGGGATAAAAAGGAAGATTTATTCTTATTCTTCAACAGGAACCAGAGTTCTAAAGAGGGAAAGGCTCCTGGATAGACACTGAATTTGGCAGAAGAGCTGTCTGAAGCCCAGGGTAGCAAAGTGACTCATCCAATGTCACACAGCAGCTTAGTGGCCACCTGGGATTCCGGAGTGAGGACTCTTGCCCTGCACTGTGTATCTCTTGCTGCTTTGTTCCTTTCCCCAGGATCTCAGTTGGGCCGTCTCTGTCCCCACAGTACGAATCACCCCTTACCTAGGGTTCTGCCGAGCTCCTTGAGTAACTCTGGCTTCTTGCCAGCTCCGTCAGGTCACGCCCAGCAACCACAACCTTGCAGTGTCCTCCCGGGACCCCGAGCCGGCTCCGGTCCTCTTTCCATTTGGCAGGCTCCCTGGTTCTCTCACTCCTGATTCAGGACAGAAAGAGATTTGGTCTGTGACTGATGCTTTCATGCAGTGTTGGTGAGAGGGAGAATTTGAAGTATCCATCACAGTTATAAATGCCTATGCCCTTTGACCTAGAAGTTCCACCTCTAGGATCTTTCTTGTGGAGACACACAGAATCACTGCCGAGGGCACTGTGGTGTAAAATAGCCAGATATGAAGGGACCCTGCAGCCTGGGGCTCTACCCTATTCTGGTTCCCTCCCTCTCTGGCCCCTCCTCTGCCACCCAAGCTTTAAATGTGGCTCTTTCTCCAGGCACTAGGCCTCCACTGCCTCTCCCCTCTGTGTGCTGTCTGGGTGTGACTCTTCGTTTCCTTGGTTTTAAACGTCATCTCTATGCTGACTCTCCCTCCATTAAGCCTGCAGCTCTGACCCCTCAATGGCTCCAGTCTCATTCAGCCAACTCTTTTTTTTATTTGTAAGATATAGTTCACGTACCATAAAATTTGCCATTTTAAAGTGTGTATGTCAGTGGTTTTTAGTATATTCACAAGGTTGCACACCTATCACCACTGTGTAATTCTAGAATGTTTTCATCACCCCCAAAAGGCACCCTGTACCCATGAGCAGTCACTCCCTGTTACCCTCTCCCCTCAGCCCTTGGCAGCCACTAATCTATTTTCTGTCTCTCTGGATTTGCCTATTCTGTACATTTCCTGTAAATGGAATCATATAGCAGATAGCCTTTTGTGTCTGATTTCTTTCACATAGCATCATGTTTTTCAGGTCCATCCATGTTATAGTGTGTATCATTATGTCATTCCTTTTTGTGTCCAAATAAAATTTCATTGTATACCATAAATATGAACCATATTTTGTTTATCACTGGATGGATACTTCATCAATGGACGGATATTTGGATTATTTTCATTTTGGGGCTATTATGAGTAATGTTGCTGTGAACATTCGTGTGTAAGTGTTTGTGTGACTGTGTTTTCACTTCCCCTGGATATATACTTAGGATTGGAATTACTGGGTCATTTGGTAACTCTCTGTTTTGCTTTTTGAGCAACTACCAAACTGTTTTCCAAGGCAGCCGCACCATTTTACATTCTAGCAGTGATGAGGATTTCAACCCATGGTCTCTTGAGGTTCCCCCCAAGGGGCTCAGAGGGCTCTCACACTCAATGTGTCAATATCTGAGCACACGCTCTCCTTTGTTGTGATAAATGGCACACCATTGTGCAGGCCAGACACTCGGGGACCATACATCAAGCTGTCTATGTTCTTGACCCCTTCAGCCAATAAGTGCTCTCAGTTCTACCCCCTAAATAAATCTCAGGCCTGACAGTCTCTCAACTGCCCACACCCTGTCCACCAACATTACTCACTTGAATGGCCTACATAGTCTCCTGTTGAGGTCCCCACCTCCAGTCTTTTCTCTAGCAGAGTTATTTCTTTAAAATAAATTTTAAAAATAGAAGTAAAAGTTATACACATACATGGTAAAAAGAATCAACTATTACCAGAAGATACAATGGCCCACAAGGCCCTCCCTGATCTGACTGCCAATTATCTGCCTGGCCTCATCTCCCACTTCTCTCCCCTGGCACACTCCAGTCCAGCCTCACAAGTCTCCTTTCTGTACTTCAGACCCACCAGGAACACTCCTACGACAGGGCCTTTGCACTTGCTGTTCCCACTGCTTGGTAAGTTCTCTCCTTTGCCTCCTTCACCACTTTAGTCGTGTCACTAAGTGACGTCATCTCTGGCTCATCTGTCTAAAACTGTAACCTTCCCACCCCCATCCCATCTTTCTCTTCTTCTTATTTTTTTTTTCTCCTAGCACATACCACTCTGTATCTTACTTTGGATTTTACTTATTTTATTTTTTCTTACTTATTTTACTTTTTTTTTCTCTCTTTCTAGAATACAAACTCCATTTTTCGGTTGTTTTGTGTACTTCTGTATCCCTAATGCCTTGGAAAAGGCCTGGCACCAAAGTAGCTCAGTAAAAAAGTGTTGACTGAATCAATGAATGAAAATCAATGAAGGAAAAACAACGATTTCTCATCTCTTTCCCCACCTCCAGCCCTCCAACCCAGGGGCAACCCCTCTCCACTGTTTTCTCTGGTAGTTAACTCAGTTTCTCTAAATAAGATGCCCCTGATGCTGTTCTTGATTAATCCAATTTTTAAACATCTACCAACTCCCTCTGACCATACTACCTCTTTAGGGTTAATGGAATCCCCAAACTGATACTTTACATTTAGTTAAATCATTAGGACTATGGAAATGTTCACTGAGAAGACAAATTTGCACTCTAATTATATTTCCTTCCTTAAACAGCGTTTTGCTTTTCCTCGAGTTTCTAATTGCCTGTGTCATTCCCTGCAATGTTCATTATTACCATCATCATAATCCTGATAATTTTTGTGTTGCCCCAAATTAGAGATTCTTAGGAGTTTTTCTTTTCCTCCATGGTACTTACCACAATTTGCAGTTATGCATTTACGTGATTGCTTACTTTCTTAAATAACTGTCTCTCTTTGGAACAAAAGCTTCTAGAACAAAGGCTGCTCTGTTTACCAGAGCATTTCCAGCACCTGGCACCTTGCTCTGTGCCTGGCACATAATAGATCCTCAATACATATTTATTGAATAAATGAGCAGTAGAAACTGCAACATATACAGCCATTGGTAGCTGGGTAGTCAGGCGAATTGTGGATTATCTCTATAATGGAACAGTATTCACCGTTTGGAAACAAAGAACTATAAAGTCTGAATACTCTTTTCTAGCATCATTGTTTGGGTTCTTATTACTGCTGAGTCCTCCAAAGTTTGCAATGGCAAAGTAACCACATTATTATGCTCAAGGATTCCATGGGTCAGGAATTTACCTCCACGTTAATTATTTTTAAAACTTAACTTTGTGTTTTGTCTTATAAGATGTACACGGTTACCACAGAAAAGTCAGAAAATGTAAAAAAAGCAAATAGAAGAGCCTCCATCATCTAACTCATCTAGCAGTCAGCACTATGAATATATCCAGCGGGTTCTTTACAGACCTTTTGTATTTTGTTTTCTTATAAACCCTCCCAGACTTAAACAAATGCATATGCAAATCCATCGTGCTGGGTTGTGACCCGTGTTTTCTACTCAGCAATATACTGTAACTGCCTCTGGATACTCGGAGTACCAGACCTCAGCCTCTTTCCTCCAGAATGCTTTACCACATCATTTTATGTTTGTTTATTTGTTCCTTCCTTCAGTGAACAAACACCTGCCATGTGCCGGACTCCGACCTGCATGTCGGGTGTTCAGGGTTGACGCAGCAGATGCTGGCTCTGCCCTCTTGGGGCTTATCATCCCTCGAGCACAGGGAAGCACCGTGACTTAATCAACCAATCTCCAGTTGATGGGTATTTAGGTTGCTTCTATTTTTTAACTCTTACAAACACAAAAGCCTTCCTTCGTATATCTTCGTGCATCTTTTCGTGCATTTTCTTAGGATAAAATCCTAGAAACGAGGCTGCTGTGGTAAAGGGCAGGCACATTGACAATATGGAGATGAAAATTCAGGGGGTGGGTAGAGCTCAGTGGTAGAGCACATACTGAGCATGCACGAGGTCCTGGGTTCAATCCTCATTAAAAAAAAAGAAAAGAAAATTTAGATTGCTGCTCACTCATTCCAAGCTGCAAATGAGAGTCAACTTCTTAGCATTCCCCCAGCCCTGGGTATCAGCACACTCACACATCTCTATGGATCTGAAAGGAGGGAAATGATTATCATTGACATAAACAAATTTTTTAATTGTTCCCATTGTGTCCTGCGTGGGATGCTGGGATGTGGTGGCCAGGACTCCTGAGGCATTTTATTTTGGATGCGGTAGGTATGTTTTGATACGGTTTTTGTTTCTTGTTTCCTTCTTGCTGGTGCCCCCCGGTGCTTTGGTCTCTCTGAATGGAGTTAACCATCCGGCCCTGTTGGGGAACAGGCTGTCTCTCCGACCCCTTTCCTGGTCTTCACATAGAGAGAGCCTGACAGCGTTAAATATGCAGCTCCTTCTTTGCATTGGACTCCCCTCTGCCCTTCTGTCCTCCCTGCTCTGCATTTGTCACCAGCAAGTCAGAATTTCACCTTCCTGTAGGGCTTAGTGTCACCTCTAGCCTTGAAGGGCTGATATCATTTGGTGCCCTCTTTTCAAGGTCATAGATGAGAGTGTTTCCAGAGACTAGTCCTTGCTCAGACCTCTGAGCCTGACCACCGAGGCGAAGTCTTTCTTGCTGTCACGCCGGGTTCCTGTCTTGTCCGTGACCCCACACTGCCTCTCACACGGTGACACATTTTCTCTGAAGCACCTTTGGTGGAGAAGCCACACATCAAAGTCCCAAAGTATGACGAGATGGGACTCAACTCACCTACATGGTACCCTCAAGGCCCCATCCTTTACTCCTAGAGACAAGGCCTTGACCGAAAGGGTTATTTTGAGATAGGACAGTTTCAGATACCATGGCAGGATGTAAAAGAGGGAGCTTTGTGTTTATTTTGTTATCATTCATTTAAAATTTATTATTAATAAAATTGTTTTCTTGCAGAGGGACTACGTACTTATTTTAGAGCATTTGGAAAATTTAGAGACAAATGAAAAAGAAAAAAACAAAAATTCCCGGGACCCCCTGGGTAAGCATTGTTAGAATGTGGCGCACTTGCTCCAGGGCTGCTAATCTCTTCTGTATGCTCTGTTACAACGGTGAAAATGGGGTCAGACCTTAGATACTGATTTACCACTTGCTGTTTATCACTTGATAAACAGCGTGAACATCTTTCCACGTCATTACACGTTTTTCAACTTAATTTGGTTAATTACTAGATCTTCCCTGAGGGAGAGACTGCTGGGTACTCAGGTCCGCAGTGACCCTCTCATCCCCGTGGGCGCCCTGGCCCTGCCTTGCCCTCTGGGGGTGGCAGACAGGAGAACCCCTCTGGGCCGTAGGCTCCGGCTAGTCTCAGGGTGGGGGCGGGGGAGGGGGGAGGGGGGACGGGGTGCGTCCTTGCCCTCCTTTGTCACATGGGCGGCCCTGGGGCTTTGAGTCTGTTATTTCAGATGGCCCAGATGGCCCCTGAGTGGACAGCAGTGGAGGTCAGTTGTGGAAGAGAGACTCCAGGGCCCCTGAGAACTTCTGAGAGCACCCCCCAGCCCCCATCTCCCTCCTCCTGCGCACACCCCCCACTCCTCCCATTCCCCGACCCCCCCCAAGGCTGTTCACATCCCATTACCCCTGGCTGACCATCATTAGCGTCTAAAGACGTATGTGGGGCCGAGAGTCACTGGGCTCTGGGGCCTTTGTCATCTGCCCACTTCAGCAGAGTGCGGTGGGCTGAAGGCCGTGGGCACAATGGCAGATAGCTCCCAGCCTGGGCTGGCCTGAAAGCCTCTCCCCTCCCCAGCTCGTTTCCCCACTGGCGCCATCTGCTAACCTTGCCTTTTCAACTCAGATGCTTTTTAAAAGCAGAAAGGGAAGATGGAGATGTGACTGCCCCTTTTGTCTCCCCTCCCCGCCATCCCCCTCCCCAGTTAGGCCTGTGGAAGGGAGGCGGCAGCGGCCCAACTGGAGGCTGGGGCTTTGTTAGGGGAAGAGGGGCCCGCAGACCCTCTCCCACTGGCTGCAGCTGAAAAGCCAGGGTCCTGTGATGACATTTGTTTCCTTTTAATGACTGTCCCAGGGTTCTCAAGTCCAAGCCACCAGCAGCCCTGGGGACCAGTCATCACAGATGGAGCTGGGGCAGGGGGACGCGGCACGTGCCACTGGAGTGGCTGGATGTGTGGGGACAGCTGCCCTGCTCT